GGAGGTTTTTCTGGTATGTTAGTAATTTCACATTTAAAAGGATCTACAACCCAATTCACAGTTTGTACATCAAGATCTGAAAAGTAGTCAGAGAACCGCTCTCTGAGTTTGGTAAGATGAAATTAGAAAAATTTCCCTATTTACCCAAAATGAAAAATCATTTTTACCCCATTTTGGGTAATTTACCCCGGTTCCAGTGGTTAGATTCACGAACATCACGATGAAAAATATTTTACAAATCCGGCTGTATTAAAATCCCGACTACCATAAAAATGTTATTGTAAATAATAAAAGACACTGTCGGGATTTCGGTGTCGGGTTTGCGATTGCCACCGAATTCTATAACTTAAATTATGTTTCTATATATTTGTGGCAAATTATTATTCAAAATTTATCAATCATTAACTTAATGTTGATCCCAGGAAAATTAGAAAACATTTTTAGGTGATATTGTAACAGCAGAAATACGAAAACTATGTATGAATGCATTCTTATATTTATTTTCATGAAATCAGAACTGATCTCAAGTGCATGTTCTGAATATACAAAGTAACAACGAATTGTACAATGTAAACAAGCAGATTATTCTAAGGAAAGGAAGTTTTTAAAATGTAGCATTGTGGTAAGAATGTAATGAAAAATTGAACAAGTATGCTCCCTTCAAATAAATTTTATTACTTAATTAGAATATAAAAACATCGAATTTACTTGAGCGGGATGAAACGGGAGCTGTGGGTGGCACCAATACCAGGTCTACCGTGCTTAACTGGTTTGTAGGTGAGGGAGAATTCTCCCAAGTAATGTCCAATCATCTCTGGCTTGATTTCAACCAGGGTGAAAGCCTTTCCGTTGTAAACACCGACGATGGAGCCGACCATTTCTGGGACAATGATCATGTTACGGAGATGGGTCTTGACGACCTCAGGCTTCTCATTTGGTGGAGCCTCCTTCTTGGCTTTACGCAGTTTCTTGACGAGGGCCATCGGCTTGCGCTTAAGTCCACGACGGAAACGCCTCCTGGCACGAGCGTGCATCAATTCCATGAGCTGCTCACTAAAAAGGAAAACAATTGGGACTTAGCATCGCAATCAACATGAACAGGTCGTCTCATCACAATACGGACACGGTACCGTATCGAAACATAACCTAACCAATTGTTTACTTGCGACAGTTTACTCACTTTGGCATATCAAGGAGTTGATCCAGATCGACTCCACGGAAGGTGAACTTACGGAAAGTCCTCTTCTTCTTGATTTCTGTATCAACCTGGAACGAAGAAAGGAAGCGTTAACATAAAATCACCCACATGAAGTAAACATTTGAGCTCCATCTCCGAAAAAATGTTTATTTATATTTTTTAGAAAGAGTTCTCGTATTAAATATTGCACGTACCTTATCACCCATGGTTAACTTTATTTATTTACGTTGCCTGCACGTGAAATACTCAGCGGATTATCGCTGGAAAAGAAGATTTTTTCAGAGACTTAGCAGAGAGAATCTGCGGCCATTAAAACTGGCTTGAAAAGAACTCAAATTCCCTGCGCACCTAGCCAACTAAACAACAGCCACTACCAACCTACAATTAGTACCAAAGAATTCCGTTCCAATTCAAATTTCTTATTATTCCCTTACTATTTACAATATAATTCAAAACAATATTAGTTATAATATAATAATTTTATTTATTATTAAAACGAACAAATAACATTCAATTACAAAATTCCATTCCATGAAGACTTTGGAAAATTTCTCTTAAACATACAACTTATAAAGCATTAATTTTCACTTTTAAATTCTTCAATAGTGCAATAGTAATAAATTAATTCAATAAATCTGTTTTATATCTAAATAATATAATACAATTTCTACTTGTTTCGAATTTTTGTTGGTTTTTGGGAATTGAACCAACGTCCTTTCGTATCAGATTTTCGTGATACAGGCGACCATAGCTACACGAATTTGAAATACATTTGCTCCTAATACCGGCTAAAGTTCATTGGGTCACCGACTTTAGGATCAAGCAACGTGTGTTGCGGATAATCCTTGGGTTATGAATATCGGCACCATTTGCAAACTCAAACAACGACAATTATTACATACTTACCACGACCTTGATAATAGATTACAATTGAATAAGAATTAAGAATTTCTTCAATATTAAATGAATTATTACTATATACACTTGGTTCTCTTTTTATGCGGTAGATACGTTCCACATGAAAACGCATAAAAAAAAATCGCACAAAAAAGGACTAGACACACGTATAAAAATAAAGGATAATTTCCATAATTTTTGTAAAACCGCATAAAACTAAATCAACGAGTTACAATATACCGAAAATCGCATAAAAAAGGGTTTATTAAATTTCAGAAAAATAATTAGTCTTACTCTATTCTTTCTGAAATGTTTATTCATAATTTTATAAAAACGTTAACAATCATAGACAAGTTTATTAAATTTCAGAAAAATATAATCTTAACATATTCGTTCTAAATTTATACTGAAAAATTTTACAAAATAAAGTTCATTGGGTCACCGCTTCCTAAAGTCAAGCAAGGTGTGTTGCGGATAATCCTTGGATTATGAAAATTGGCACCATTTGCAAACTCAAACAACGACAATTATTACATACTTACCACGACCTTGATAATAGATTACAATTGCATAAAAATAAAGAATTTCTTCAATATTAAATGAATTGACATTATTACTATATACACTTGGTTCTCTTTATGCGGTAGATACGTTCCACAGGAAAACGCATAAAAATAAATCGCACAATAAAGGACTAGACACACGTATGAAAATAAAGGATACGTTCCATAATTTTTGTAAAACCGCATAAAACTAAATCAATGAGTTACAATATACCGAAAATCGCATAAAAAAGGGTTTATTAAATTTCAGAAAAATAATTAGTCTTACTATATTCTTTCTGAAATGTTTATTCATAATTTTATAAAAAACGTTAACAATCATACACAAGTTTATTAAATTTCAGAAAAATATGATCTTAACATATTCCTTCTAAATTTATAATGAAAAATTTTACAAAAAAAAAATACAGAAGTTAATCTTTCTTCACATTTTTTTCTTTAGAATTATATGAGTTATATGAGTGTTCGGCATAATTTGCGAACTGGTTCGAAATCACTTTCATCACTAGAAGAGATAGTCAGCACATCAGATCTATGTCCTGAAGATAATGATTCTTCACAAGTAAAATTACTCTCAACTTCGCATGTTGATTTTTTCCCTTTGTCAATATAATCAGTGATTAAACTTTGCGATGGTTTTGCTATTACTTTTGTACAATTCCTGATATCCAGAAATGCAATTCTGAAGCTCGCGTTGAAACTTGAATGCTCGTTCAGAATTATCATCTTTGTCGATGAAATGGTTTGCCAATTTGTGTCAAAATAGTTATTTAAAAAAAATGCTTCTTGAAATAAAAACCGCATAATAATTTTTATGAAATACCATTTATTATATTAAAACAGTGTACAAAGAGATTAGATACATTTTCGAAACCAGTTAGAATGGGCCAGTTGCTCTGTACACGGTCTTCCTTTCGGCCCTGTTCCCCATCCAGGCGCAGAAAATCATGACTGATGCAATCAGCACAACGTAAATAACGACAATCCGATACGTTCCCATCAGATTGGAGCACGCACATTTCTGCTGCCTGGTCTTGCTTATAGTTCTGGTCAACATCATCGATCCAGTGTTTGTTGAATTTTGTGATTGATCGTTATTATTAATTCACTACCTCTGTGACATGATACCACTAAGATTTTCGTGTTATCAACATATTATATATATATATTTATGAATGCGTGTAAAATGTTCAAAAACTCTACTCCTCCACCTCTTCCTTTTTGATTTTCTTCTTGATATCCTTCATCTCCAGTTTCCTCTTCTTGAAATTCTTGCAGTGGATCTCGTGCAGCTTCTTCGCGCTGTTCAAGTCGTCCTTGAAGATCGTCCACTCGATCAGCTTGCTCCCGTCGTGCAAACCCTCCGTCTTCGACGGATCCATCTCCGGAGTGTACTCGGGTATTTCCAAGCCCAATTTCTTCATCACCTTAACCATGACGTCGTCCACGTACGCGTTTATGATCATATCTGCTTTTTTATCCTACAAACTAGACTATTGTATTCTGATAACGAATTAAAGTGTAGATGGATCAATACGTGTTTTGTCGCTTGGAGGTTGACTATAACCATTCTTCCTCCGTACTTTAACGTGTTCAGCGGTAAATTACCGCTGGGCACAATTTGCAATGTAGTCCCCAAGCAAATATTCAGATCAGCCACACTATTAACAAGCAAATAAAATACGTTTCTTATCACATTCAATCAAGATTTACCTAGAATGCAACTCTGATAGCTTCAAATCTAAATCCGGTAGATTTGCCTCCCAATCCAAAACAGTATCGCGAATTTTCCCTCTACAAGCCCTTCCAGTTAACTTCACCCTAGGGCAATTCTTGTCCAAAAGCTTCTGTCCAACACTAGTCGTTGCACTGTGTCTAATAAACTGCCTAAAACTTAAACATTAAGCATCAAATTGTTAATCCCAAAACCTAAATACTTTTCACAAGTATCACATTGCTCTATGAACATATTCCCATGTAATTCTGATAGAAATTCGCGTTTCAATCCAGAACGCAAATGCAAGCCATCAATATTCTGGCTTACAATGTATTTCACCATTCCCAAATCAACTAATTGTTTCAAAGCCATGTGGGTCTTAGTTGGCACAGCATCATTGAATGAAATATTAACATTTGGTTTTAAACCTTTCTTCTCCAAAGTCCAAACTCCATTTGGACCTCTACAAGTACACATTCTATACGATTCAATCAACAATTTTTTTTTACTATAATTAACCTGAAATCTGGTATTCCGGCAGTTGTACTGATGCCAGCTCCAGTGTGAAAGACAACATGCCTTGCTTCACTGATCTGTTTCGCCAAAAGGTTGCATTTTGTGTCCAATTTCTCAGCATCATCAAATTTCTACAATATACGCATGGCATGTTATAACAATACAAAGGGATTAGAAAATATTCACCTCTGGGGCTCCCAGAACCCCCTTATCATCATAAGGTGATAATCCATCTGCATATGAACAGGACATTATTAATAATTTAATTAATATCTCTAAAAAAAAAGAATAATTGTTAATAAAATGTAAACAAGTAAAAAAAATATATTTACAAACAAGTTTTGCTGTTTAAAAATATCCTTCGAGCCCCAGGCTTTGATTCTTCCTTTTTTTTTCGCAGTTTTATATCAAGTGTGTTATGCTATTTTTCAACAATTGTTCAGTACATTTGCCAACATTGAAAATTTAAAACTTCTTAGAGTTCATTATCATTTAACAGACATTATGTAACAGCTACAATTCATCCCGCTTACATAATTTATAAATTACTTTGATATTTTATATATTTATTGTTAAAATAACTATGAAAACATGTTTATTTTAATTTTTTTTCATGTTTGCAGCGCTGAAACTCTATTATAAACTCAAACATTTTCTCACGGTTTTGACAGTTGATTGCAGTACTTCTTCATTGTTGGTGTGTTGTGACCAGTAGTGATACGAAAGTATTAGTTGAATATTTGATTAAACAAAGGTTAAAGTTTAGTGCAAGATGAGCAGAAGAAGGGCCCACGAGGAGGAGGATGGATACGGTATGTTACAAATAGTGTTTAACCCTTAAATTCACCTATGTTTGCCCTAAAAAAACATAACATAACCTTAAAAGTATATCATATCATTACTGTGAGAGAGATACTCAATTTAAATAAAGTCAATTTAAAATTATCAACTGCATGCATTAAATTACAGTTCCACTTTAGCTCATTCCACATTCGATTAATTGCAATTTATTCAATGGGATGTGCACTCGCATATTATTTATTGAACGATTAAAAATGAGAAAAGTTGTTTCTCCAACGTTCTGTGAAAAACAACAATATAATTGCTCATTAATTTCTAATGAAATTCGATTCTCAAAAGTTATAAATATTTTCTTAATAACAATTAGTAATTTTTCAGAAAGATGATTAATTTTTAGTTATTTGCTTTACATGAAAAAGTGTTTTCTTCTGCTATAATATATATTTTTATCAATTTACAGACAGACTTCAGAAGAAACGTCGTAGGGTTTCTGAAAATCAAGAGATTGAGGATCGTTTGGAATCGTTGATTCTTCGTGTAGGCGAGAAAAGTACTTCGTCTCTTGAATCGAATTTAGAGGGTTTGGCTAGTGTGTTGGAAGCAGATTTGGGCACTTTCCGTTTGAAGATTTTACGTATTTTAACTGATTGCGCCATCCGCATGCCCGAAAAATGCACTATTTACACTACACTGGTGGGATTGTTAAATGCTAAGAACTACAATTTCGGCGGTGAATTCGTCGAGTATATGGTGAAGACTTTCAAAGATTCGCTGAAAGCGTGCAAATGGAACGCGGCTAGATACGCGTTAAGATTCTTGGCTGACTTGGTGAATTGTCACGTGTTGTCGGCTTCATCTCTGCTCCAGCTATTGGACAATATGATTGATACAGCTAATGAAGATAATGTCCCACAGGTACGTTTCGATCTTAATGCATGGAAGATTAGAATTTCATGGTTTGTTTTAGGTGAGAAGAGATTGGTACATCTTTGCTATCCTCAGTACTTTACCTTGGGTCGGACGGGAGTTGTACGAGAAGAAAGAAGCCGCTTTGGAGCATTTATTGGTATCGATTGAGATTTTCTTAAATAAGCGTAGCAAGAAGCATCATAACGCTCTCAGAGTATGGGCTAGTGACACTCCACATCCCCAGGAGGAATACTTGGACTGCCTCTGGTCGCAAATCCGAAAACTGAGATCTGATAATTGGGCGGAGAAACATATTCCTCGTCCGTATCTTGCTTTCGATTCGACACTGTGCGAGGCTTTACAGCATAACTTACCGAAAATTATACCACCACCGCATCAAGATTCCAACAAATACCCCATGCCCTGGGTGGTGTTCAGGATGTTCGACTACACAGATTGTCCAGAAGGTCCGATCCTTCCTGGAACCCATTCGATCGAGAGATTTTTAATTGAGGAGCATTTGCATTCGATCATTGAACTGTATCATTTGGAGCGCAAGGATTGCGCCGCTCATCTGTTGAATTTCCCGTACAAATTGAAGATTCCGTTGGAATATTGCATTGTTGAAGTGATCTTTGCTGAACTGTTCAACATGCCCTCACCGAGATTTTTGGATATTGCGTACGGAGCTATGCTTATTGAGCTCTGCAAACTGCAGCCGTCGACTATGCCTCAAGTTTTGGCACAAGCTACAGAAATTCTTTTCATGCGTATCGATTCCATGAACGTGTCTTGCTTCGATCGTCTGGTGATTTGGTTCTCGTACCATTTGAGCAACTTCCAATTCAGATGGTCTTGGGAGGATTGGGAAAGCTGCTTGAGCTTAGACAGTGAACACCCAAAGCCTAAATTCATCAAAGAAACAATGTTAAGATGCATGAGGTAAATATTAAATACTTATGATTTGTATACCGATTTAATTACACTACATTTCCAGGTTGTCTTATCACCAGAGAATCAAGGAGATTCTTCCAGCGAATTTCTCGTGTTATATACCTGAGAAAGCTGAAGCGGAATATAAATATGCCAAGGAAGGAGCCGGTAAGTTACACAAACTTTTTCTTATAAACTTTATTCAATTTCGATACGATAAAACGATATATACATTTATTTATATATATATATAAAAATATTTATATTTACAATAGTAATTATGGAATGTTTTTCAAGTTTCTATTTTCTTTCTAAGTCTTCTTGTTCGGCTGACCGTTTTTCTGCGTTGTTTGGGTGTTTTAGCGTTGCTTTGTAGATAATCTATGCTTCTAGCGTGATTCACCAAAGACAAGGCCAAATCATCGAACGATTTGTTTATATCTTCTTGTTTTTCTTTTTCCATTTCCGCTTTATATACGACGAAATCATCGTCCTTAACATTTTTCACTTTGATGACTTTGGCTCTCCTGTATTTGACTTGATGTTGCTTCGTTTTGTTATGGACTTCGTAAGAAATCGAAGTAGCTACACTTTGGCTTGTTGCTGGAGAAGTCTGTATCGTAGATTGAGTGGTTGTAAATCCATCTAAATTTGTTGTCGGATTTGCTGTCGAGGCTACATAAAAATCGGAATAAATGATTTTAACAGTCGGCTCCGTTGTACTTCTGCTAGGCTTCGAACGTTTCTGTTTTGTCACAAAGAAATCTTCGAATTCGTTGGTTATCCTCTTCGTCGGTTGTGTAGTGGTCAGAGGTTGAGTGGGTTGAGGTGCGAACAGCCTTTCGAAAGAATCCAAACTATCCAAAGTCGATGGTTTTGTGGTATTCGCATTAAATATATCATCGATGTGCTGAGTATTGATTTTCGGTTTTTTAGTAGTTGCTTTCGTCGATACTGGAATGGTTGTAGGAAATAGTTCTGCATTATCGTTTGGTTTGTTACTTTGCGGAGTGTAGTTTTCGAATGATATCAAAAAATCTTCAGTGTTTTCCTCTGGTTTAGTCGAACTTGGAGTGGATATTTGTGGTGGTGGTTTTGGCAGTTGATTTTTATCTTCTGGGAATATATCAATGTCTTCTTCAGTTTCCTGGAACGGCGAATTTACCTTTGGTGGTTTTGCTGGTATCGTAATGTAATGAGGCGTTGTTTCCGGAAAGTATCGATCTGTGGTGATAGGTAATTTTAAGGTTGTCAAAGACGTTGGTGGTATGGAACTTTGATGGGTTGGGTATGGTTCTGAATAATGGACATCTTCTGGACTTGGTACGAACTGAGGTTTGGTTGGAGGTGGTGCTTGCACGGTATGTATTTGATAAGAATCCGTGAAAGGAGTGGTTGGAGTAGTTCTTGGATAACCTGGATGTGTTGGATCAATGTAGAAAGTAGGTACCGGTTTACCAGTTTCTGTGGTGTAAGTTGGTTGATAAGATTGCTGAGTATTTTTCTCGACAGTTGATTCTTTCTCATAAAATATTCCAGGTTTAGTCGTTTCTTTGGTATAGTAAACTGTTGTTGGCGTAATTTCTTTGGTGTAGTAAACAGTATTTGTTGGTATCAAACTTGTCTCTTTGGTATAATAATTAGTAGACGGTGTGGTTTTGGTATAAAAATCGGATGGCGTAAATTCAGTTTCTTTGGTGTTCGAGATAGTAGACTCCTTGTTAAAACTTTCTTGATTCGGTTTTGTGTAATAAATCGTTGTTGGTTCAAACGTTGCTTTTGTAATTGAAGTTGTTGGTTGATAACCGCTTTCAGTTTCTTGGCCAAAATATACGGAACTGGTGGTTTTCTCCGGTGAAGTCGGAAAACTCGTTTGAGTTGGGTATGTCGTGATTGTGGTTTCTGGTCGAATTAATGTTGTTGAAGGAGTTTTCGTTGATTGAGTTGAAAATATTGTTGACGGCACTTGCGTTGAAAATATGGTCGTTGGAATTTTAGATGTTTCAGGTACATTCGTAGATTGAGTTGAAAATATTGTTGATGGTATTTTCGGTGAATATATTGTTGAAGGCACATTTGTCGAGAAAGTTGTTGAAGGTATCTTTGATGATTGCGGCGAGAACAACGTTGAAGGCACATTTGTCGATTGAGTTGAATATGTTGGATGTATTTTTGTTGATGTTGTTGAATGTACTTTTGATGGTGTTGTTGAAGGTTCATTTGATGGGAATGTTATTTGTGGTGTTTTGGATGATACGGATGAAGGTATATTTGTTGATTGTGTTGAGAATATTGTTGGTTTATGGTAACCAGTGGTAGATTGAATGGGTTTAGTGGAAGGATTTGTGGTGAAATATGGTTGAGTTGTATAAGGTCCATTTGGAATTGTGTATACATCAGTGGTGTAATGTACAACAGGTCTATTGCTGGTAGTTTTGGTTATGGTTGTATGATAAGTCACTGGATTAGGTTTTGTTGGTTTGAAGGAATGCGGATATGGATTGGTTGTAGCTGGATTAGTGACTTTGATTGGAATTTCTTCAGTTGGGATAAAGTAGGTAGTTTTTGGAGTTGTGGTGTGTGGTTTAATTGGAATTTCCTCTTGAGGAATGAAGTACGTAGTCTTGTGAGTGGTCGTCGGTTTCGTTGGGAATTTGATGTTACCAGTATTGGGATACGGAAATCGCGTGGATGAGAACTTGGAATCGTAAGGGACGGTTGGCGAATAAGGGATGGTATTTTGTGTTGGCTTCAAGAAATTTGTACCAACGGTAGTTGGAGGATATTTTGTGGGAGGACCGAATCTGTGAGGGAATTTGGTTGGTTTAAATTGACTTGTGCTTGTCTGCTGAGAAAGGCTTTGCACCAAATTTTTGAACAACTCGATCTCGTCCTCATCCGATGGCGTCGTACTTGGCGTTTTCTCATAATAAGGGTTTCTGTATGGTAGATAGAACCTGTTCGGTGTAACCGGATGATTTAACCTATCACCTTTCACACGGTTGTAGCGAGAACTCTGCGTCGTCCCAAAGTAATTATGCGTCGTAGCGTGTTTGTACCATTTCAAATGATCACTCGTTTGTGCAGTATTAGTTTTTACCACAAAAACGTGGCCAGGTCGAGAGTAGTCGAAGCTTCCGCCTCTTGTTACATACCCAATTCTGTCTTCCGCGCGGATCGGAGAGATGGTGTATTCCAGCTCGTACCGATGCCCGTAATCCGAATCCCTGTGCCTTATCCTCTTCACCGTCCACAAGGCCTCCAAGGTTTCACTACCTTGATAAAAATCACAATCCGCATCATCCGTGCACAAGCTTCTCCGATGGCAATCCACGCAGTCGTTCTGATAAGGGTCCTGCACGAACTTAAATCCCGACGCCGATGAAAATATCTGCCCTCTGGCCAAAATAGCGATATCTCCGAAGGGCGACGCCTTATTTGATTCTCCAACAATTGGAGCGTGTAGCATAACATCTCGAAGATTCGGAATGTTATATCTTTCCCTCAAGAAAGCCTGGTGGGCGGCCTCCCTTAATCCAGGCTCCCAATCCGTAGGAGGCGGCGCTGAATGTCTGCGAAACTCCTGAGGATATGACGAATCCTTGAATGTTATTGACGATATTGGCGCGAACTTAATTACTTCCAAGAGTATCTGAAATTTGATTGAGAAACGCGCTTATTATATTATACAATAATCAAATTTTGTTGCGCGCCGAAATTTACGAATTAAGCAACAAATATGAAAGGTGTGAGATTGAATATAATGTGTTTGTACTCACTATGGAGATTAGACTTGTGCTTAACATCTTGTGGTTTCGAGTGCACTTGATCTCGGTTTGATGTGTTGTGTGTGTCTTCTGCTTGGATTTGGCCCAAGAAGAGGCCACCCCCACCGAAAGTTATGGTCTGAGCTCCGCCTGCTCCGGTGGTAATCGCGCTTTCGACATAATTGCTCGCTTTGTCTGTAGCTCTTTGTGCGTATGTTTGTTGTGTGCAATTCCTCTGTTCATACGGGTATATCGCCTTTTGATGAGAGTTATTGCGTGATGATAATATGTACAAGAAAGCGAGGAGATTCGCTAAACTGTTTACTGGTAGTTATCCACAAAAGAAAAACTGGTGGAAAGTTCTTTCCACAATTTCCACATCATCCTACAAGATTCAAATTATCGTATCTAGTTATGTTTCATACAGTAATCAGATCTTAGATTTAGTATATTTTATACCAAAACACTATTATATAATCTTTCTGATCCAATTGTATTCAATGTGTGAACTCTTATGTAATTCTTCTTAATAATTGGATCAGCATGGAATTAAATTTCAAAATATTAAGTTTCCACAAATATTTATAATTTATAGTAATATCAAGTAAATGTTTTTACTAACTGTTTCTTGTTATATAATGTTGTACATTGGAAGGACTTGGTTCACTAGCCTCTTTGTGTCATTTCATAAATTTATGTTTTTTTTTTAACTTTTGAATCATTCAATTACCAAAAATGAGATTTATTAAAATGTATTGTTTTTCTGTAAGAGATTACATAAGTATTTTACTTATTAAATAACGAAAGTTCCAGTCTTCAAGCTTTATCGAATGCAAATAGAATTTATTAAGAAACGTACTTGACTGAATCAAATATCTTTTGAGATTAATTAACTTTGATGATGGATATCTTGTATTATAAATAGTTAGTTAAGGTTGTGACCCATTTAGTCTTCAAGAAAGCATTAGATTGTGTTATTTGTTCTTGTTCTGAGGTTGAAGTTGTAAAATCGTTGGAATTTATTACATTATTCAGTCGAGCGCGATCCCGCAGTGAAAATTATGTTGAATGCAATGCAAATTTAATAAAGCAAAGCCAAGTTTCTATTGGAATTAACATAAGGAGTCTCTCCTAATTGATATTTCGAGAGTCCGCTAACCGTGAAAGCACGCAGTCGATTTTCCTCCCGTAAAGATTATCTTCTTCCATTGCCACACACGATTCTTCCATTATTTTCCTATTATAAATGTCTCTCTTTTCTGACTGTCGCCCCCCCAAAAACAACACATTTCTAACGTGAAAAAAAAAACGTAATGAATTTCATAACAAATAATAATGCAACATCCAGCGAGAAAACCGGAAGCGCACGTCTTCTTCTGCGCACCTTCTTCAAGACTGTTGTTGCCCAATATTCTCCACGGACATTAACACAGATTTCGCGGCTAAATTCAATGTCAGAGGCCTTTACATTTCACGTGCACATCTTGAGAACAATTGTCTTCATGCAAATGACGACTCGTCTTAATTGCTGCATTTTCTTTCTTTCTTTTTCTCGCCTGTCTTCTTCGCATTTGCGAGCAAACGCAAATTAATAACATTAATTGTCAAAGTCGTTTGCGTAATGTTAAATCGTGCGCTTGAAAGGAAAATTTCGTTACGCAATAGAAAAAAAAAATGAGAGGTTGACAAACTCTTCCAGTCACGCTTTTGCGGCCAGCGAAATGCACACATTTCTTATTATTATCTTGACCAATTAGTGGTTCTTCGCTGCTGCACTTTTTACACGGTCCGTCCTTTGTTCCATTTCTGGCCACTGGATTTCCGGGAAGAGAAGAAAAGCGCGCATTTCTTCTTCGATAATTAAGGAGCAGTCGATCTTCGCGTACAATCGTTACGCAACTGCTCGGACTTCTGCTAAACAATGCGGCAATTAGGCGTTTCGTAAAAATATCTGCAAGTGGTTTAATAACTAATCCGCGATTGCGGTTTGATTGCATTTCTCTTCAGGTTTTTCACAGGTACTCTTGCCGTTTCCTTGTCAATTAATTGCGTTACGTAAATCCTTCGTCCTGATGGATTGTGTTTCTTCAGTGAGGTCAACGTTTAATTAATTGAATTAAAAGAATAAAAGGCCTCTCTTTTATGGATTCCCGATGTGAATCGGGCGCTTCGGATTCAAGTGTAAATTATCTCAGGATGTTTGCAAAATACTCGCAAGGGCGGTCAATAGAAAGATACCATCTGAGTGAAGAACGAGAAAGAATTAATTGTGAACAGCACCTCCAAACAATTTTCTCTGCATTTCGCATGTCGTGTGGATTCATTGAGCAATGGTGTTATTATTTAAATTGGAACTAATTAATTAAATTTTCTTGCACACTTTGTTTTTAGTATTTTCGATGAATTAGTTTCTAATAGAAAACGGTTTTGCATATGAGCGTTTATTAATTTGTTTTTTTTTTGTTGTTATTGTAGCTGCTCTCCCCGGTACCGCTGCGGCTCATCAGCTGGTCGTATCTTTTAGGCAGAAGTGCACTCCTGAGGAAGTTCTGAACGTCCTCAAGGACCTACCCAATCCTCGACCAGATGATGACCCTGCATCGGAAAGCCGCTTCAATCCGTTGAAGATCGACGTCTTCGTGCAGACGCTGCTCAATTTGGGCTCGAAGAGTTTCTCACACAGTTTCTCTGCAATTTCGAAATTCCATTACGTTTTCAAGGTAAGGTCGTCTTTTAATTCCACGTATTAATTAAGTTTGTCACGTATTTTATTTAATTTATTTGCTCGTGTGCAGATTCTCGCCGATTGCGAGGAAGCTCAGATATGTATATTGCGCAATATGTTCGAGCTGTGGTACAATCATCAGCAGATGATGATCGTGTTGATCGATAAGATGCTGAAGACGCAGATCGTGAAGTGTTCGGCTGTTGCCAACTGGATCTTCGCCAAGGAGATGTGCCAGGAGTTCACGAAGAACTACATTTGGGAGATTTTACATTTGACTATAAAGAAGATGAACAAGCATATCATCAAATTGGGAGGAGAGCTGGCCGAGGCTAGGGAGAAATTGGCCAGGGCCGAGTCGAGTGAAAGCGAGGACGAGGAGGAAGATGAGGACAAGAAGAAGCCGGAGGATGCGGAGAAGCCCACCGAGGAGATGGTAGAAAGGATGGAGGAGAAGCTCGAGGCGGCGCAAGGAGATCAGAAGAATCTGTTCCTTATCATCTTCCAAAGGTTCATCATGATTTTATCCGAGCATCTTGTTAGGTGCGACACTGATGGACGTGATTACAATACGCACTGGTATAGATGGACTATTGGCAGATTGCAACAAGTCTTTTTAGCGGTAAGTTAACTACTTAAATTACCTAAATCATACTATCAATTAGTTTTGTTCTAGTTTTAGTAATTTGTATTTTTTGTTTTAGCATCATGAACAAGTTCAAAAATACAGCCCGACATTAGAGACGCTGCTGTTCACGCAGGATCTGGACCCGCACGTACTAGAAGTTTTCCACCAGTTCGTTTCCCTCCAGGGCTAAATTAAGCGAGTTTTCATCGATTTTATTATTATTATTATCGGATAATTATTGTTTTGTTTATTATTTTTTTTTTATATATTTAAGAAAATGATTATCATGATCATTTATACCACACACACACGCTATAAATACATAATACATTTATATATTATATATTTTTTGAATATGCAAGGGAATACGAGGATCTATTAGTTTGATTTGATTAAGTAAGTCTGATGCGTAACGATTATATAAACAATTATATTTTATTTACAAGAACGGTAGAAAAATTCGAAATCTGAATGTAGAACGAGTGTAGTGAAAACATTTCCGTTCAGATTGTTTATTATTATATAAGTAAATAATTAAAAAAAGAAATAAGAAAATAAGATATTCCTTCTTTTTTTTTATACATATTACATTACACACTCTAAATCATCCTTTCTCGGTCAGCGCGAACGACACTATTGTACAACAGTAAGGGCAAATCTTTACAATAGTTCAATTAACACCTGTCTCTCCGTTTTCTGATCTTATGATGTCTCAATAACAACAACAACAAGAAAATCTATACTATTTCGTCTCGAATGCTATTTTGTAAATTTCGTCGTAAGTGCTGACGAAGTGCACCTCGAGACCTTCAGTTATGAATCCGGGCAGATCGGTGTAATCCTTCTTGTTCTCCTCGGGAAGGATGATGCATTTAACTCCTGATCGTTTCGCCGCGATCGTTTTTTCTTTGATACCACCCACGGGCAGAACCTTGCCCATCAGCGATATTTCCCCGGTCATCGCGACGTCCTGCCTGATGGGCATGTTTTTCGCCAACGAAATTAGAGCTGTGACTATGGTGCATCCGGCGCTGGGCCCGTCCTTCGGCGTCGCTCCTTCAGGAACGTGTAAATGCAAATGACTAACAACAATAAAAAAATATACATAATTATTATATTAACATGTTACAATTGAAGACTATTTTATCAAGAATAAAACCTACCTGGTGTTTAAAAATTTGTTTGAGCCTTCTATCCTGTTCATGAAATTCCTCGAAACAGTCAGAGCTATCCTCGCCGATTCCTTCATTACATCTCCCAGGTGACCTGTCAATTCTAAGCTACCTTCTGTGTCCTTCTCCCCCACAGGTCTTCTCGTTGTAGTTTCGATGAAGAGCGTGGAACCACCCATCGCCGTCCAAGCCAAACCCATCACCACTCCAGGAGGTGTTACAGCGTACATCCTATCGTGGGTGAAAACCGGTTTCCCCACGAAATCTTGCAGATTGCTACCATTTACATCCACGTACGTCGCGTCCTCCTTCACCACTTTGTACGCCACCTTTCTCACAACCTTCTCGATGTGCTTCTGCAGATTTCTCACGCCCGATTCGCGACAATAGTTCTTGATCAGGACGTTCAACGATTCGTCCTCGATTTTAATATTTTCCTCCTTCAATCCGCTGTCCTTCATCGCTTGCGGAATCAAATACTGCTTGGATATAGCGAGCTTCTCTTCCGCGACGTAACCGGACATATCGATCATTTCCATGCGATCCCTGAGCGGTTCCGGGATAGTATCAACTACGTTCGCGGTGCAAATGAACAAAACCTTTGATAAATCCACCGGCACATCCAAATAATGATCCAAAAAGTTCGAATTCTGTTCCGGGTCCAATAATTCCAGCAGTGCAGAACTTGGATCACCTTGGAAACCTCTGAAGAAATATTTTATTAAATTCCCACGACACTGTAAACCTAATTCAATCATACTTTCCAATTTTATCGACTTCATCGATTAAGACTAAAGGATTTTCGGTGCGTGTTTTCTTCAAACATTGGATAACTTTTCCGGGCATCGCGCCAACGTACGTCCTCCTATGACCTTTAATTTCAGCCACATCGGTCATTCCGCCAACAGAAAACCTAAAGTATTCCCGATTCAAAGCCCTAGCGATAGATCTAGCTGCAATTTTTAAAATTCATAATACCGACAATATAATAAATCTTATTAAATCTATTTACCAATACTAGTTTTTCCAACTCCGGGTGGTCCATGGAAGCACAAGATTTTACCTTGCGTCGAACCCTTCAACTGACTGACAGCGATGAACTCCAAAATCCTCCTCTTGATATCCTCCATACCGTAATGGTCTTCGTCCAAAATTTCCGAAGCCGTCTGTAAATTAAGATTCTCCTCGCTTTGAATTCCCCACGGCAAGGACGTTAACCAATCCAGGTAATTCCTCGTCACACTGAAATTCATCAGTATTAATTATGTTCCTTCACATTTCGGAAAAGCACTCACTTAAATTCAGAGCTGTGACTTTCCAAGAAGTTCAATTTTCCCAATTCCTCGTCGATCACGGTGGAGACGGCTTGCGGCAAAACCTTATCCTTAATCCTTTCTTTGAACTTTTCACCAATCGCATCTTTATCCTCCTTCTCCAATCCCAGCTCCTTTTTAATCACCTACCGCAACAAATAACGATTAAATTTCAAATAACAATGAGATGATTAAAAACTCACTTTCAATTGTTCCATGAGAATGTATTTTCTGTGATGTTGCTTTACTTTTTCCTCTACCTCTTTTCCGATCTTCTGCTGCAGCTTCGACAGCTCATACTCTTTTTTAAGTAGCGACAGTGACAACATCAATCGTTTTGGTATCTAAAATTTGGCACCGCATTTATTTAGACTTATTGCTTTCTTTATGTAAAACGAATACGTACATCGACTTCCTCTAAGACCTCTTGCAATTCCTTGGACTCAGCCGCTGTTAACGCAGCGCCCAAATCGCTCAAGTAAACCGGATTATCAACAACCCTTTGTCCTTGATGCATCATCTGTTGCAAACTGTCCCTGTACAACGGATTAAGACTAATTATATCCCTGATTGTTTTGATGACTTCCTGCGTCAACGCTTTGACCTCTTCCGTCTGCCTGAACTTATTGTGGATGATATTCTCCACCTCGACCATAAGCAACGGTTCCACTTTCGGCGTCGTTTCTGCCTTCGCTTTAGCTTCTTCAGCAACTTTAGCGTCACGTTTATTCCTCAAGGCGCGCGGTTTACGCTTCCTTTTGTCTTCGTCGTCTACAACAACGTTCATAGTTGTTTTAAAAAGAGGAAAGGTGAGTTTCATTTCTACAGGCGAATATAGAAATAAAGAATGCAAGTGAAAAATATAAAGATCATCAAATACCTTTAGGAATCTCCTCATTGGGATTATCCAAGATCTGTCCAGTGATTTTGATCCTCCTATGGGCCATGACAACAAGTCTCAGTTTGTCACCCAAATCCTGCATCTCATGGATCTGGGCAAACACTCCAACTGGATAGACATCTTCAACACCCTTCATGACTTCAGCTTCTGCTTCCTCGTTCTTTTTTAAGAATATCCCACAGTACGGTTGATTCAATTTCACTTTCCTTCTGATCAACTCTATTAAAACTGGATTTGATATCTGAAAGAAATTAGATAATTTAATACACATATTTGCTAAAGCAATTAACACATACTTCTATCAGTTTGATGAATCTGGGGAAGACTATGTTTCTGCTGATGGCAATGACTGGCAAATGGGGCCACACTTCTGGGACAGCCACGGGGGCTGGCAATTGTGTTCCGTAGTTGTTCTCAACAGGTGGTGGAGGAATGTGTGGGTCATCATCGTGATCATCTGGACTCTTCGTGTTGAAGAATCTGCATCCGGCAATAGCTGATCTGTTCAGATTACCTTCCCAAAGAGCTCTCCTACAGGATGCGCTCAGCTGTGCACCTCTCGCGTTGCCTATTTGTAAACACACAGCAGAGTTGTTGTGCAAGTTTCTAGAATGTGAGGTTAAGTTTCCGCAGACACTTTTCAAGCGATGGTTGAGATTGTGAAAACTACGGCCAGGCAGGGCTTTCCTCACCGCCGACGCGGACAGATACATTTCCAATGATTTTCAATACACTTTTCCACTTGGATCGAAATCTCAACTACATTCAAATTCGCGAACGTTCTATGATTTGACTTAAATCTTAAATGTCAGGGAACAGTCAAAAACCAAGTTCAAAGAGTCATCTACAGTTGGAAATAGTTTCTAATCAATAATTCTAATTACAAGTAATCAGTAATTAGAATTTGATTAAGATTTAAGATAATTAATTCACATGTAATTCCTATTGGATTTATAGGGACAAATTTAAAGGGACACTGAAAGAAAATTTAAAATATAGATAGTAAATGCACCAACAGATGACGCTCATGTTACACAATTTAAAGTTCGGTATTCTCATCTCTCAGTTATCATTAATTATTTTGTAATGTAATTTAACTCTTCAATACAAGTATAATTAATACAAAACTTACTTGTATATTACAAAATTAGGTGCATTAAATGCACGAGGACAAAATTTAAAAAATTGATAATAAATGCACCAACAGATGACGCTCATGTTACATAATTTGAAGTTCGGTATTCTCATCTCTCAGTTATCATTAACTATATTATATTGCAATTTAACTCTTCAATACAAATATAATTAATACAAAACTTACTTGTATATTACAATATTAGGAGAAAATTTAAACTATAAGTAGTAAATGCACCAACAAATAGCACTCATGTTACACAATTTGAAGTTCGGTATTCTCATCTCTCAGTTATCATTAACTATATTATATCGTAATTTAACTCTTTAACACAAGTATATTTAATACAAAACTAACTAATATATTTCAATATTTGATGCATTAAATGCAAGCTTGAAGAATTTGTATATATTTTCAATAAAGTTTATGCTATGCAAATTAAATTTTTCTTGTATTCTTTTACTTTTTAACATAACAAATGAAAGCAACAACAATTAAAAACAACCTGTGATATACTTGAATGAAGTTGTTTTGTTATTCACACTTTATAATGTAACCGGTTTATTTATTAATTAATGATTCAAAGTTTTTTTTATAATATTAAAATGACAAATTTAGTCAAAAGTAATAAAAAAATATTGTTCAAATATTATAATTAATTCTTAGTAAACTATGATAAATTGACTTTTGTTTATTTTTTGTTGTCCCTTTCTTCATTAGCATACAGGTCCGTTGTTTTGATATCTCTCTGCAATGCAAATTGTCTGAGCAAGTTCTTCGCTTCTATGTGTGTCCACTATTAATTTCTTCCCATTCTCTCTCCAACTTTTCCTTGATATAGAGCACCCCTGCTACGTATCTTGTGATGATGTCTCATTTTTCTTTGATCATCAGCATCTCGACAACGAATGTCTCCGGTTCCAAGACTCCTCCGAGAATTGATTCCGCCTCGTGCTTCATCGTCGCCCATCCGCAACATCCAAAGAACTTGTGTTCTGGACTATCATCTTCTTCGCAATACCAGCACTGTTCGTTTTCCTTTCTTGCTATAAAGTGCAGGTACTTGCTGAAGATGGAATGTTGTCTCGCTGTGTTTTCTGGAAATCCAGGGTACTATTTTTGGGATTAAGCGTCTAGTCCAGGCACCCTTCTCTGAACTATCCCATTTTTCCTGCCAAAACTTACTTATATAATACAATATTAGGTGCATTAAATGCACGAGGAGAAAATTTAAAAAATTGATAATAAATGCACCAACAGATGACGCTCATGTTACACAATTTGAAGTTCGGTATTATCATCTCTCAGTTATCATTAACTATATTATATCGTAATTTAACTCTTTAACACAAGTATATTTAATACAAAACTAATTTATATATTACAATATTTAATGCATTAAATGCAAGCTTGAAGAATTTGTATATATTTTCAATAAAGTTTATGCTATGCAAATTGCAATTCTTCTTGTATCTTTTTCCTTTTTAACATGTAAATGAAAGCAACAACAATTAATAACAACATGTGATACTTGAATGAAGTTGTTTTGTTATTCCCACTTTATAATGTAACCGGTTTATTTATTAATTAATGATTCATAGTTTGTTTACAATATTAAAATGACAAATTTAGTCAAAAGTAATAAAAAAATATTGTTCAAATATTTTAATTAATTCTTAGTAAACTATGACTTTTTTTTGTTGAGGAGAGAAAAATGGGGTACTGTAGGATTCTTACCGCACTAAAACATCTCTCCCTTTCTGCATTAGCTTACAGGTCTGTTGTTTTGACAATGCAATGCAAATTGTCTGAGCAAGTTCTTCGCTTCTATGTGTGTCCACTATTACTTTCTTCCCATTCTCTCTCCCTGCTACGTATCTTATGATGATGTCTCACTTTTCTTTGATCATCAGCACCTCGACAACGAACGTCTCCGGTTCCAAGACTTCTCCGAGATTTGATTCCGCCTCGTGCTTCATCGTCGCCCATCAGCAACATCCAAAGAACTTGTGTTCTGGACTATCATCTTCTTCGCAATACCAGCACTGTCTGTCTTCCTTTCTTGCTATAAAGTGCAGTTACTTGCTGAAGATGGAATGTTGTCTCGCTATGTTTTCTGGAAATCCAGGGTACTATTTTTGGGATTAAGCACCCTTCCAGGCACCCTTCTCTGAACTATCCCATTTTTCCTTCAACTTTTCCAGCAGTCTAGCCTTGGCAGTTTCCTTGTTCACTCCTCTCCCATCTCTCTTTGGTTACTTTGATTATCTTCAATTTCAGTATAAATAAATTACAAATTTTCATTTCAATATAAAAAATTGCCAATGTAATTTATAGTAAAATTTGTTAAAAACTATTATTTAAATATAATTTCAAATTTAGTCGTTATTTAATCTCAATAAATTACAATTTTTCCAACTCATCTGCAGTACCTAGGCATGATAAATTGACTAATTTCCATATTGTTTATGAATAATAAACACATTGAACTTAATAAAAATGGACCTTGAACTTTCCTCACTTTTAACTTATTATTTTTATCTTCCTTTGTCTGCTTCGATTTATAATTATATTTTGGCAGACAGTACGACTTTCCCTCATAAATAATATCAAAACAAAAAGTAACATATTCAAGTATTTTTAAGTTATTTGAGCAAAAATATATTTTCTAATAAATTATTTATTTCCAAATTTTGTCCATGTAGAAAATAATGCGTTGTGTAATAATAATAAAATAAACAAACATGTTTTGTTTTAGTGCTAACATAAAATAGAAGAAATAAAGTAGTTTTATAGGAATGAATATTAAAAAAAAAAATCAGCGCTTATTGTATATGCTTCACATTATTACGAGATTCGTAGCGTGTCAATAATAATGAACGCGTGCCACTTAAGTATATCTACAGATAATAATAATAACACTTCTTGCGCGAATAACAATTTATCAACTGTAATTCAAACACATTTATAAAGCAACTGAAACACTTTGTTACAAGTTTTTTTTTACTCATTTTCAGTTACTATTTCTATGTCAATGTTTGCATTCCAATAATAATATTTTGCTATAATTGTAGATTTTCATATTAAGATTCGATATTTATGTTGTAGAAAAGCTCTTTGAAAGTGTCAAGGAAATATCAATTACATCCATTTGCGTACCGACCTATTAAATTAATATCTATTTTATTTCTCTATCACGAACTTTGTACTGTTCAAAATGCAGTTTATTAACAATTTATATATATTTTTTTTTAATTGAAAATACCAATTAATAAACTTGTTTATTTAGTAATTGAATAATTGATAAAAATACAGTTGAATAATCAGAGTTTTGATAGAAAAAATGAGTTACAAATGTGATATTTTACCATTAAAAAATATACAATAATGCGTTAAAAGTACACAAAAAAATCGGTTGAAGAATCTCATGGTTCATGACTAGTTTTGAGTGAAACTTTAAAAACCAATTATGAGTGAGTATGTAATGTATAAATAATGTTTTAGTACATTTAGAACAGGAAATATTGATGGCAGCAATTACCAAATGCTTTTTCTTAACAATTAATTCTATACGCGTTTCAGTTTAGTTGTTTTTTAAATTGTATTATAAGTGTCCCATTTGTCTTGTAAATATGGGCAACTTACTAAATACGATAGAATCTATTGCTCAATCGGATAATGAGTAAAAAAAATGTGATGCAAAACCATTCACGAGTCGGTGCGACGCGACGGGAATGCAAAAACGCGATTGATCCAATGGAAATGCAAATGTACTTTGCAAGATCGGCGTCCGTTCTAATTAAAACCTGGCAAACAAATAGCAAGACAACGATTATTTACATATAAAGGCAAATGTTAATCAGTTAAATATTTAGTCTGCTCGTATGGTTTGTTGTGGAAAAACGCGCGCTCTCCCGCGAAGCCGACACCTTTTATTTTCCACACACACACACATATTTTAACAGCACGATCATCTTCTGCACAGTGACGTAAACCCACTGCAATCCGTTTCCTCCTCGAAAATCCCCCAGAAGAGACAGAGAAAATGTTCGCACTGTAAACAAAAACCGAAAAGCGACAGATAGAGCCGAGTGTTTACATCGTTCCAATTCATTTTACTCATTTTTTTCGTCTGTCCCGCTTTGCGTCGTCGGATCGTCGCAAAAATCGATTCAATTGAATACCGCTGGTCAGCTTTGTCCGAGAGCAACAAATTTGTTTCTGTTATTTGTAATTCGGTCGTCGCGTCGGAATCCTTTTTATTGTTCTTCAACTCATTAGTTTTCAGCGATCCGGTGTCACCGGACGATTAATTTCTTTTTGTTTTGCAAGACATTTGCATTGGAGTTTCACTTTTCACCTTCTTGACGACGACGTGAATCGCTAATTCGATTTGTTTTGGACAACATGTAGAGAAAGAGTAGTCGGCAGACGGATATGAACGGGTGCATTAGGTTTAAGAAGTTCAAGAGGCGAAAGGTGCATCACCAGACGCATCATCAGATTCCTGTGATCATCATCGATTCACCGGTCCACTCGGAGGTTTCTCTGGATGGATGCGATGGAGCTGGCGAGGATTGCGACGGATTCCGGCGGAACAGCGTCTCTCTACCGAATCTGGATGAGTTTGAGCTCAAGGAATCGAATAATCTAAAGGTTAGCACTCATCGGAATCGACGATAAATTGCTTTGTTGTTCAATCGAGTCGTGTTATGCAATTGATTGCTTCGAATCGGATTCGGGATGTTATGGAATTCAGAGTAAACACAAGAAACGCTGTCTTAGTAAGACACTGAGATAAGATAAGACGGACAACAACAAGTTCATAACTCCAACAGAAAATAATTCAGTGAAACATAACTATTTCTTAAAACTATTTTAATAAAACTTATATTATTTGAGAATCATCTACCTAAATATTAAGATGTGATTTGTAATCATGATAATTAGCAGACATGTGATGTAAAGCTGTAATCTTTATATTTTCCAATTATTCTGATGATCTTATACAAACTGCATCATTAAACTCAGTCAGTTAATGCTAATTAAGCAAACCGCAAAGTATTAATAGTTATAACGTAAGTAAAATGTGGAATATACGTTAATTAAATGCTTCATTCTTCAAAGAATTATCTGGTAGAAAAGAATCAAGAACATTCAGGAAATATGCATTAATGAAGACAAAATATTTTGTCTTGTATTTGGAAATTATCTTTATATACTTGTGATACTTGATACTTGTGTTTTTTGTTAGTGTAATAAGTCTTAACATTACACTTTGATCATAGCTCATAAAGCCACGAAGCGATAAGTCTTAACACTACGTTCATTTTCACAACATACACGGCTATACAAATAGAGATATTGCATTTGGTAAATTAGTATACAAGTGTCCAATAAATCAATCACATAAATTAGTAATATTACTTTTTTTTCGATCTATTTTAAAGACGTACTTTTTTCCATTGTTCCAGTTATCACTTTTAACGTTGCATTCTGATTTCAAATAAACATAATTGTTTTTTTTTCAAGTTTTGAGCCAAGATAAATGTTTGTCTTATAATTATCGACTTTACAGAATCGTTCAATTCATGTTTTACGCGTGATAAATTTGTTTCAACAGACTGGTTTAATTGATATACAAAACCATTGTAAATCGGTAGTGATTAGCGAATGTTTAGAATGAAAATTTTAGAACGTTATTTTTCAAGTAAACTGTACATTCTGATAGTTGACATTATCCAGTTTTAGTAATTCTATGTAATTAAAATCTTCTATAGAAAACCAATTATTATTTTCTTTCTGTTAATTTTGTTACTTTTATTCTATTCTAATGTAATGCAGTCAGCAGTTGCAGTTGTTCAGTTAACGTACACAGTGCAATTAAAATTGACGTACGCTAAACGAATATGTGTTATAATTTACGTATTAGACGTTCATATGAAAATTATGAACATCGATTTTTTCCAGTATTTTGTGTATTTCTCAACAACCCTTTAAGATAATTACATCATCGACCACACAATTGAAAGCTCAATACTTCACCTTTCCAAAGAGCCTTTTGGCATCTTCGTGCTGTCGCCGAGTGACTTGCTGCAGAAGTTGGAAAAAAAAAGTGAATAGGATTTTCTTCAATTTCGTTGTTTAGTTTAGAGATCCGACGAGTTTTCACGTTTTTTTTCTTAATCACACGAAAATTACGAAACTTTTGTTGCATTTTAAGAATGCGTAAGATGGGTGCCAACCTTACATAACGGAATAAACGATTTTTTTTAGATTTTTGTGATTTTCTCGACAACCCTTTAAGATAAGTACATCATCGACGACTCAGTTTAAAGCTGAATACCTCACCTTTCCAACGAAACTATTGGCATCTTCGTGCTGTCGTCGAGTCGCCTACTACGAGCTGTAGAATTTGGAAAAAAAAGTGAATAGGATTATCTTAAAAATCACTGTTTCCTTGAGATCCAACAAGTTTTTCTTAATCAAACAAAAATTACGTAACTTTTGTTGCATTTCATTATTGCGTAAGATGGGCGCCACCCTTACGCAACTCTTTGTGAAACAAAATTTACGTAATTTTCGTTACGTAACAGGGAATAAACGATTTTTAGATTTTTTTTTTAGATTTTTGTAAATTTCTCGACAACCCTTTAAGATAATTACATAATCGACCAAACAATTTAAAGCTGAATACCTCATCTTTCCAAAGAAACAATTGGTATCTTCGAGCTGTCGTCGAGTCGCCTGCTACGAGCTATAGAAATTGGAAAAAAGTAAATAGGATGTTCTTAAAAATCACAGTTTTCCTTGAGTTTTCACGTTTTTTTCTTAATCACACGAAAATTACGTAACTTTTGTAGCATTTCATTATTGCGTAAGATGGGCGCCACCCTTACGCAACTCTTTGTGAAACAAAATTTACGTAATTTTCGTTACTTAACAGGGAATATACGATTTTTCGATTTTTTTTTTAGATTTTCGTGAATTTCTCGACAACCCTTTAAGATATTTACATCATCGATCACTCAATTTAAAGCTCACCTTTCCAATGAAAGTATTGGCATCTTAGTGCTGTTGTTGAGTCGCCTGCTACGAGCTGTAGAAATTGGAAAAAAAAGTGAATAGGATGATCTTAAAAATCACTGTTTTACGTAACTTTTGTTGCATTTCATGATTGCTTAAGATGGGCGCTACCCTTACGCAACTTTACGCAAATTTACGTAATATTCGTTACTTAACAGAGAATACACGATTTTCAGTATTTCTTAGAGATATTCGTTCGTTACTTCGGTTAGAAGAACGTAATTTAGTATGCATTTAAGCGCAGACTTTGTATGTTATTTTCTTGTGTGAAATGATAAATAATTGGTTATTGTTTTGAATTGAATTGAATTTTGCAATGAATGTATGAAAACAAAATTGCTTAATGTTCTTGGAAGTAGTTGTTAATAAAGAGCGATCAAGTTTCATTGTTTACGAGACCCGCCAGATGCAACATTATCAATCAATCAAGAATGTAGTTATTTACAACATTATTCCTCTAGATTTCTTCGAGCCTCTCCGACGGACGGCGAAGTTCTGCGTTACATAAGCGGCGGCGGCCGTACGCGTACGTTGATTTGATGTAATTGTTGAAAATGATCGTCCTTGGTTGTGAATTACGGCAGTATGTTCCACCGCATCACCATTATCATCGTTTATCTTTCTATTGTTTTGTTCTCTTTTTTTCTGGTTGCTTGTATTTTCAGGAAAACCCAGGAAAATCTGGGTGCCGTTGGGCGGCTGGAGGCATCTGTCGATACGCTCGTTTTGTGTTTGCCGAACAGTTTAGTGCGATCTAAACGGTTTTGTACTGAAATCCTCCGTGTATAATGTAACACGATAATTGGTCGAAATTGTGATGTCGTTGTGACATTGGCTTCGGTTTAGTCGCGTCCGCATCTGTCGCGAAATGTGCGCCACTCCGATTGCTGTTAGGAAATTGGAGGAAAAATTTTACATTCCCGACGACAGCGATACGCAATCCCAAGTAATCAATGCCAATTAAGATGATCCCGTTCGAAGATCGCCGTGGTGGCATTATTTTGCTAATGGTTTGCCGTTTTCTACGTTTCAGACCTCAGAAAATGGGATCCGAAGCGATTTCACCAACAGCGAGAACGACTTTTCCGACGTCGAAGACTTCAGACCCAATGGGTATGTCCATTTACATTTTAACTTCTAACTCTAATTCAATCAATCAATCAACATTTCTATCTACAATTTGATAATTGCTAGCTTTTCAAATTATCCAACAAATCAATTATTAAGTCAAAGAAGCTGCAAATTCATCTTGATCTAATAATAACTAATCAGTAGTAGCCATCAACATTACTTTCTTGAAATCAACTCAGATTTTCCATTGAACAAACCATTAAGTAGTCCATATTTCGATCTCATTTTTACAATTAACTTATTCAAATCATTACCAACATTTCTTATTTTTTTTCCCATTAACTAAAAACTAGTTAAATACAAGCAATAAACATGAACAGTTTCTATTTTCTCATTTTTTTTCTATTGCGTTTCAAAATTTTCACCAATGCCGAGAAAACCTATTATTTCGCTGTGGAATGAAGTGATTAACGCGACGCAAATGTGAAATCTCCTGTTAACAGCATTTATCTCTCTATTTACCCATTCGATTTGCAAATTTCAATCACGTACACCCGAACACGGAGCTCACCATTTGAAAATTTGAATTTGACGTATAAGAAGTTGCATACATCGAAAAATCGTGGCCATACAAATTGATGAATTATTCTTAAGTGATGGAATGTATCCAGTATTTCCTGTTGTTTAGTTTACGTAAAGTTAAGCAATGTCTTTTGTTGATTGATTTTGGATTGGAAATTATGGATAAATGTTATGATAAAATTACTTGTATCAAGTGGAAATTTATATTATTAACTAAATACAGTTGAAGAATCTTATGGTCGATAGTCAGTTAGAAGATATGTAAAAAGTTGTAAAAACTTCACTTTATTTATATATTTGAAATCATTGTTTTAGCGAATAGTAATTTATACAAAAAAACAACTTAAACTAGATAATGGGAAACCCCTAACCAAAACTTACTCATAATTCTAACACATATTTTCCCTGATTACACAATTTCAAATTAAATTATGTTTTAAAGCACAATCTAAGCGAAATAATATGATCTATTATATACTGGGTGGCCCAATTGAACTGCAACCAACTTAAAACTGCTGTAACTTTTGAACCGCTGGTAATGTTGTGTTCATATTTCGCCTAATGATAGCTGATTTTATTGTTTACTAGTCTACGGAAGAATTTGCTTCTCAGTTTTTTGGAAAAAAAGTTATTCGCAATTTAATTCAAACGTAATATTGTGATAGCCCAATAAAAGTGGGTATTGTTGAAGACCTCAATGTGAATAAATCTTTCGTGTCTCGGACCATAAAGATGCTAGTAGTGTTACAAAATCCTATTTTTGTGGTAGGTAAAAAGCTACATCTGTGGCAGAAGTGGTTCGGAAAGTTAAGGCTAAAATTGAATGAATATATCGAAAATAAGCATGCAACGAATACTGAAAAACGAACTCAAAGTGAATCTTTACAAGTTCTAAAAAGGACAAGATCTCACCGATGTTCAAAAAGAAACTAGGCTTGATAAAGCGAAGGAGCTGTTGCGCTTGCACGAACGCAGCCAATATCGTTTTGTCTGTTGAGAAAAATTTCCCAATTGAGAAATTCGTAAACAAACAAAATGATCGAATTTACTTGGAAGAGAGGTCAATTGGAAATTTAGACAAGGAGTCAAGTTTGTAGAAGTTTGGGAGTCTGTGACGGTAGATGGTCAAATCTACGCGACTTCTCAGTATAGGGCATTTTATAGACGAAAGTGTTAATGTGCTCAAGAAAGCCCTTCTTCCTGAGTGGAGGAAGATTCTGCATGTTCACATTCCAACTCATAGCCATAGTTCGCACTAAAGGCGACCATATCGAAAATTTTAAATGAATTCAAAAAATTTAATGGTTTTCCAATGGTTTTTGCTTATGGTTCAATAAAATCCAATTTCAAATAAAAAAAATACAGCCTTCTGAAAAGTTGCCCTGTAATAATAAAAATGACTACTGTATTACTATAAAAGTAGTTCAAATGTGTGTAGAAGACTGACTACAATGTTAAGTTGTAAAAACATAATTGTATATTAACTGAGAATAAATTAGTTTGTAACAAATACTTGATACTAATAAATAATTCATTTTTAATGCATTAAATTGTAATTAAAAATTACTTTCCTATCACTATTAACATTCGTAATTATATACTATAAGTTGTTGTGAAAAATGACCTTTATATTTTACGCATAAAAAACAAAAACAAAATCAAATTCAATAATACAATTTTACATTTTCGTTCAGTTTATTTGTGTCAAGTGCTATAATTTCGCACAAGGTTACAAATGTTAAACGCATTTCGTGCAGAATATATTCAATGCTGAAGTTTTCTTACAAAAATAACACTCATAAATTTATTGTAAATTTATATTAAAAACGAGGAGAAATTTCATGTAATTGTTTTAAATTTTATTCATATTTAAGATATTTTCGTTTTATGTAATAATTCTGGAAATATAAGCAAAATGAAATGGATAGAAATTCCAATAAAAATTAAATTGGAAACTTTCTCTTTACACTGTTGTAAATTTGATTTATAGTAGGTTTTGTGTTATATTGAATGAATAAATGGAGATCAGTGGGTCATTTTTTTTAATAATGAAATCATAATAATTGTGTTTGTTTTCATTTAGTTTATTTTTTTCAATAAGATGCAAGATTTCATTCAAATTAGTTATGAAACTTTCATGTTTTGATATAGTTTCATATTAAGATACAAATCCAGTTTTAATAATGTTCATTGTTTTGAGATTTTCTCATATATTAAGAAAAAAATTAATTTACGTTGTCTTAAATTACTTTTTTGCATTTAATAAATTAAAACTTACAAATTTCACTTACTTTAAGTTAATATGTAAGCAATTATGTGTACTTGAATGCATTTTAAGAACAAATGAAATATTGTTGTGAAAAGTAAATGTCTAGGATGAAATACAAATCATTGATTATGTCTAATTAATGTATATTTCTGCTGCGAATCGAGACCTACTTTTGGTGAATTTGTAAACGTAATTACGTATACTTGAATGCACTTTAATAACGAACGAAAGATCGTGGTGAAAAGTAAATCTGCAGGATCAAAGAAAGAAGGAAGAAAAAAAAACATTGATTACGTGTATTCAGAGGAGAGAACGATAATTATGGAGGAAACTTATCATTGGAATAAAACGAGTTACAAATATAGATTAAACATACTTGCAAAGCGCCATTATCTCGGTCAATATTATCTCTGAGCACATAGCAGAGAAACACACACACACACAGCGTTATTGACAAATAATTATTCGGTTTATTCAGTTGTGAAACGCACCGTAATGAATCTGTTATACGAGTTTGTGTATCAATAAAAAAAAAAGGAGAGGAATAAGAAGCTACAGTAAAACAAGAAAAGAGAGTGAAATAACTGCTATGGTAGTTAGTAGCAGTGACGGTCGAGCTGTCGGCTATGTTTGACTCGGGTGTATTTTATAAGAAGCGAAAACAATATATGCTTGCCGCAGTAATTATCGCAACTTTGTTTACTTACGTGTATCATATCGGATCTCGTGATTTGGTTTTGGTTTAATTTCTTGTATAGATTCGAGGTCTGCTCTTGCAGTGGTGCGAGGTTCGGTTTGGTAAACGATGAGCGACGATAGTAGTAAAGTTAGTGAAACGGTGAAAGATGTGGAGAAGAACGAGAAGGATGTCCAAGAGGAAGACAGCGACGATGAATTTTATAAGTATAGTATTTCTTGCAATTATTTATTTGTACATGTAGAAAGAAAAAGTTGGAAAGGAAACTTTGATTCGCAATAATTATTAAGTGGTTTATAAAAACTAGAGAGATTTAATGAACAACATCACATGACTACGATTAATATCAGAGCAGAAAAACGTATAGAGATAGATTTTTGTTAAATTTAACTTAAATTCATAAAAATAATTTATTTGTCAGGGTTTTCTCATAATTTGTAATCGACCACTTGAGATGTGTGTATCATCTAATTAGTGTTGTTCTACTAATCCCACATTGGGGGTAATGAGTAAGTTTCTTCCATCCTCGAGAAATGTGGCAAATTTTAGTAAAATTTCAGTTCGAAAAATTTATAAGATTTTCTTGAGACAAAAATGGATAAATTAATTGTAATCCTTGAAGAAAGCAAATGAAGACAGCGACGATGAGTTTTATAAGTATAGTATTTTCTTGCAATTATTTATTTGTATATATAGAAAGAAAAAGTTGGAAAGGAAACTTTGATTCGCAATAATTATTAAGTGGTTTATAAAAAACTAGAGAGATTTAATGAACAACATCACATGACTACGATTAATATCAGAGCAGCACAACAAAGTATAGAGATAGATTTTTGTTAAATTTAACTTAAATTCATAAAAATAATTGTATTTGTCAGGGTTTTCTCGTAATTTGTAATCGACCACTTGAGATGTGTGTATCATCTAATTAGTGTTGTTCCACTAATCCCACATTGGGGGTAATGAGTAAGTTTCTTCCATCCTCGCGAAATGTGACAAAATTCAGTTCGAAAAATTTATAAGATTTTCTTGAGAGAAAAAATGGATAAATTATTGAGATCACAGCTGTAAAATTGTAATCCTTGAAGAAAGCAAGCAATGACCTTTGCGAGCCTCGGCAAACAATTTACGATTAAATGCAGATGAGATTTCTCTCATTGGAAGTCGCGCGAAGCAACAAATTCAGTTCACTAGAGGTCAATTTCGTCTGCGGATGGAATTAGCTCGGGTAATTCCGAAGAGAAAAAACAAGAAAAACGGAGAGTCGTCGCGTTTCGTGTTACTTTCTTCTTCGCGTTCTTCCCATGTGCGCTCATTATAAACTTCACCGCAAATGGTCCGCTTCCGATGATATCATGAGTGGAGTTCAGGAAGGATTCATCTGAATCAATCCACGTTCAAATGCAACAACCGAGGGGGTCGACAATCTGTAAATGAGCCGGGGCAATTTGTATTGTAGCGCGGACGGAGAGTGCGTGTAGTGTTGTAGTTGAGTTGAGTCTCGTCTCGACCCAGACTCATCGTTTCTCGTCTTCTTGCAGAGTGCCGTTACGGCATGCCAGGAGGAAGTCCATCACACTTTCACCGAAGATGTTGAAACCCCCGGGCGACGATGAATCGGGAAGCAATTCACCGGGGAATTCGATCACGTCCATCAATTCGCTCGCAAGTCTGCTCAGGGAGAAGATGCAGGTATAGTTTATTTATTTCTTGGATTAGGAAATTGAAAGTTTATTTTTATTGATGTTGTTTAGATGCTGCCGACGACGATAAAGAAGAAAAAGCCAAAGGATTACAAGATTCGGGCGTTCGTGGGTTTCCTCTTCCTGACGATAGTGCTGTTAGTAGGGTTGGCGTACGTGCTCTACCATCAGAAGGTGCTGCAGCGCGCGTACTTCGATAAGATTAAGTTCAGCAAAGTGCAGAGGATCATCAAGATTTACAATGCCGAGGGTGTGGATATAGTGCAGGGTCGACTGGGAACCACTCTGAATTACGATAAGGTTCTTCCGTGTCTGGCGGAGGACGATAGGAACGATGGAAGCATATGCATGGAGTGGATGCATCGCGCTCGCCTCTATCTGCACTTCTACGAGCTGCACGAGGACGTCAGGTGTTATAACATGAAGTGGATCTCGCTTTCGAAGGATCTCGAGCCGACGGATTGCATCGATCTGCACGAGAGCGGCCACTGGTACGGTGGAGGGCAGAACGCTGAATCCGCGTGGCCCTTGGAGAAGGGCGGCCACGACTTCGCACCCTTCGTAACCGGAAGAGTGGATAAGCATCAGTGGGGCAACGTGCTGAAGAGGTATTTCATAAACTCGAAAGGAGCTGCTTTAATCATCGACGATAAAACACCTCTGTACACGGCTATAGAAGGCGACGGCGCGGAGAAGAGGTTGTGCTTGAAAGCTAAATACGACGACTTCGCCTACGTCAATCGCAACACGCCTCTTCCAGTCTTGAATTACAGCATCTGCACCAGCCCCAACATGACGCAACTGCACTCCTTCATGAGCGAGAAGTCTCTGTACGACGTGCTCAGACCCAACGAGGTCGACGACATCAACAAACTCATCTCCGAACCGATCTGGGAGTTTCCCTCCGGAAGAGACAACTTCACCGAAGGTAAATCTACGATTGAATTGTGAAACGAGCATATTAACAACAAACGAATATTTTACAGACGCAATCTTCGATTACATCGCTAACATCAACCAGAATTCGCAGCTAGGGCACGTGCTTATAAACGAGTTCTGGCAGAGGCACGTGGGGGACTTCACCGTGGATAAAGAGAGATTCGCGACGTTCGAGAAAACGTTAGAGATTATCCGGAGGCGAGGTTTTCGCGTCGTCTTCTCCATCCAACCGTTCATATCCACGGAAAGCTCGAACTTCGCGCGAGCGGTTAAGAAGAGGATACTGATTTCGGAACGATCCAGCGACAGGAGGATACCGGCTTTGACGCGGTACAAATACGCTGGAAGCGCTGGCATGCTCGACGTCACCAACAACAAGACGATGCCTTGGTTATTGGATAAACTCAAGAATGTGATCAACGAGTACAAATTCGACGCTTTCTACCTTGACATAGGCACTGCTTACAACGTGCCGCATTACTACCAATGCGAGAAGACTCTAACGAATCCGGACGAATACAAAAGTATTTTCATCAACAGCCTTCAGCAGACCAACAACGTCTTCGCCGTTAACAGCATCGTCGATAAACCGTCACGACCGACTTTCGTGTCTCTCCCAATGTTCGATTCCACTTGGGACGGTCTACGGCAAATAATACCCACGGTCTTAACTTACGGTTTAACAGGGTACATTTACTTGATTCCTGGGGCAGTCGGCGGAGATTACAACGTTCCTCCGATGATCAACGGGACAGTCACGCTTCCTGATAAAGAGTTGTACATCCGTTGGTTGCAGCTCTCAACCTTCCTACCAGTCACACATTTCACTCACGTCCCTTCTGTTTACGGTGATAGCAAAATCACCGAAATAGCCAGAACCTTAACAATATTAAGAAACCAAAAGGTACAACAACAAATCTATTAATTAATATCAATATCTATTAATTGAATTGGTTTCAGGTTGTTCCACTCTTGAAGAAATACGTGAACGAATCTTGGTACATGGGAATGCCTCTGATACGTCCCTTATGGATGCTCGATCCCAACGATCCAGTATGTCAGACGATAACAGATGAATTTTCAGTTGGCGAAGGTCTTATAGTTGCTCCGATCTTGCATTCCGGGACCAGAGAAAGGGAGATTTATCTTCCGGCCGGCGTTTGGAGGGATGGAATCGACGGGAGCTTGAGGAAGGGCAGCAGGTGGACCCACGACTATAAAGTAGCCGAAATGGAGATTGCCTACTTCGAAAGGATGCCCGACAACACGAGATTCTAAACAAGACTTTTACAAATAATTCCAATTATTATTATTATTTTTTTTTGATACATATTAACCAGTTTTGTGATATGAAAAAGAACAAATCAATAATCAAACCACGCATAAGTATATTTTCGTACGTAGAGGTGTTTATCCGTTGATAGTATTATAAACTAAGTGCTTTAATTAGTTTCTCTAAGATTAATAAAACTTATATAAACAAAATTTGGAAATCATTAACCTTAGATCAAAAACAAATTAAATTCATTGCAGGATTTGAAAGGATAGAAAAAGGAAACAACATAGTTTTTTTTTATAGGTTTTTGTTTTATTTTTAAATCTCATACATATCCCATACATTTAATTGCGGTTGAATATATGTAAGTTTTAACATTTTTTTTTTATTTATTTTTTTTTAAGCTAAAGGATCCGATTTTGACTAGAAGCTATATATATACTTATACATATATATATATTTTAATATATACTTTTTTTTTTATTATATATATTCTCATTAAATATTTTTTTTTTTTCATATATAATATAATTAATTGAAAAAGAGTGAAATTTGCACATAATAAATTTTACAGAGTCAATAAATATATAATAAGGATAATTAGAAACAACGCAAATATAAAGTGACGAATCTTCTGTTATTATTTCCTCATATTTTTTAACCACTTCTCTTGTTGAAATTACTGATGAAATTTCAATGCGTTCTGCAAGTATTGTGCGTAAAAAAAAAACAACAAAAGTAGTTAATCGAATGAGTTAGCTAATCCGGATTTAGTTTTTTAGTGGATTATTTGTTCTTTTTTTTGTTGGATGAAAGCTTCAAATTTTGCATTGAAATTCCATCAATTTCCAAAAAAAAACACCCAGCAATTCCGTCCTTCTTCACTTCACTTCGCTTCAAACCGGATGTAAACAATCTCTTTCAATTCTCTCCATCCCAAGGCATTTCATTGATTAGCACCAAACTTACATATATAGTTAACAATATTCATTTATTGTGTACTAGATTACAAGCTCAAGAGTTTCATCTTTCATTAAACAATTTAGTTAAGTTTCCGAATTTGGTGCTCTCCTTCGGGCCGCCGTTGGGTCCGGAGGTTACCATCACTTCTCCATCTTTGCCTCTGTCCCAGTTACCATCTGGACCCAATGGAGACGCGAACGGAGAAGCCTGTAAAATTTCCGCTAAAAAATATTTAATAATCATAATTTAATTATATAATAACTTCATCTCCTTCCTCCAGTACCCCAGTTCCAGTCATTCCATAATCTCCTTTCATTTAAATAGTTTTTCTTTATAAGCTCTAGCTAAATAGGCCTTAGATATAAACGAAATATGAAAATATCGAAAAACATGAGAAACGAAACGATAAAATAAATCAGAACAAAACAAAGTAATAAACGATACAAAATAAATACACAGCTTAATATCAAACAGATTAAATAGTATTAGTTTTGGGTAATCTCGAAACGCTAAACTCTAAAATCCTCCATTTAATATTCTCGATTTCGAAAGTGCTGCACGTTAAATAAATACGAGAAGCTTATTACATTACACGTAGATAATAGTAGTACATCCATAAATACATGTGTGTTTATATATAATAATAATAATGATAATGAAACAAATTGAAATCAGTAGTTATTTTAAATAAATATTACAAAACTTTCTTTATATGCGGAAAGTCTTCTCATCTTTGGCGTAAAATATAGAGACGAATGCTACGCGGTACAAATCAAATCGAATTTTCCTTTCTTCTTTCCTTCCTTCCATTTTCTAACCGAAAATAAACTCCTAATAAGAAAAATAATTTATGGGTATCACATCAGATATATAGGTTTTCTTTACTTATAAGTTTCATCTTCTCTTTTCTTTAAATCTTAATAACATTGAAAGCAACGGAAACAATTATATAGAAAGCACCAACTGTCAAAAAGAATCCTCGCTTGCTTTATTTATTTATTATAATCGTTTGTTTGTTTTCAATCATTTGTTTTTGTTTTTGTTTGGCAATGTATGATTTTGAAAATATTTAGATGCAGTTCAGCGATTCAGCGGATTGTCTTCTCCTCTACAAAATAAAACAGATTTTAATATAAATTTAATATAAATGAATCGAGTGGATTGAATTACTTTACAGGTTGATCATGTTCTATATAGTTGCTTCTCGCGCACCTAAGATATAGATATATATAGATAGAGAGAGAGAGAGCTATTGATCTTATTTAGCCGACGAATAAATTTATTTAGTTCTTAAAATAGTATTCACTAAAGTATCTAAAGTATCTTTGTTTACACACGAATTACGCGCGCCGACTGTCCGAAGTGTCCGCTAATCGTTTCGCTCCGGTTTCGGCGCAAACACATTTATTTATTTTTTATTTTTTCATCTTCTGTTTAAATTCTTTAAATATATATATTTATATACTTAATTAATTAATTCATTAATCAATCAATCATACTTCTTTCTATTTTTTTCTCCACGTCCAAACATCTAGAAACTTCCATCGATAAATTGAAAGTCTCGGATCAAATAAGGGCGACCAGTCGGATCGAGAGGGCTGTAAACAAATAGAAAATAAATTGGAATTTCGCGCGACCCGACCGGTCTTTTCACCACCCCCCACACTAAACATCATCATCATCATCATCAAAGTGAAATTTATAATAATAAAATATTCTAGCTTCCAACGAAATATTCCCAATATTCTTAATACACCAGTCTAAAAAGTTAGATTTTCTTTATCATTTTAAACTTTACTCTTACTCACTAAGTTTTAATTTCTCTCTACTTCCTCCATATTTTCTTTTTTTTAGTTCGCTTCTTGGTTTCTCAGTTTTACATTTTTTTGGTTTTCAATTTGGTTTATCATTCGCGTTTCATCTTACTTTGTTTCTCGTCTACGTTAAATGGATGTGTTTCATTGTTCAGAAGAGGTTATCATTATTATAATAAACGTTTACTTTACTCTAGGAAGATTTACGATCTCAAGAATATTTATTACATATTTACTTAATATTGGCAATAAAATTTTTACGAAAGATGGACGTGTGTTGTTTTCATATTATATTATTTTTGCTTTGTTTCGGTTTTTTGCTTATATTGATTACATTCCCAATTTGTGTGTGTTTCCTTTAAATTCGTTGTGAAAATCGAATTTTCATGTAGTTACGGTTTTTTTTATTTGCTGTTATTTCTTGATGCAATGTAGTATGTAGTGTTAGTTCTTGTTCTGGTCAGATGAATGATTAGCGATGATTTGTTTTTGTTTTCTTCAGTTACATTCTGGACTGACTTTGGAGCGTTTAGAACTCCAAACGATACGCTGAGCAGGAAGTCTCGTGGTCTTGCAAGTTGATGGTGCATCTGCTTGCTGACGGTGATAGATCAATCTTGAATTTGGTCAAAAGCTCTTCGTTCTCCGCCACCCAATAACCCAGCACGTCAGTGTCGTAGGTTGGAATGATAGTCACTTCTGGAAATTCAATAAGAAAACGATTAAATCTTATTGAAAATTGTTTGTTTTCAAGACTTACCTAATTCTTTATCTTCCCAGGTTTGTTTGGCTTCCAGAAGTGCGTTGTAAACCTCCTTGCTCGGTTCGATTCCGGAGAAAACGTAATACCTGGCGCGGACTCTCTTAAAGAAATCGACGTAGGTGTAATACGAGTTTCCATGATGAGGTACGTATGTCAGATCGACGTATACCGGGTTGATTTTCTTCTGCTTCTTCGAAGGCGATTCTGCCCTCTTCTTATCATCATTCAACTTGTTCTTGGCCGAAACATTCATCGGCAATTTCCTGTCCTTCTTCGGAGTTCCCTTGTTATCCGCGGGAGGAGCCGGGCTCGGTAAACCCAGAGGTTTTCCCCAAGATTCGATGGGATCTCTTTCGGTGGGCAATTCGTGTCCGATGAAGCTCGATGTCATTAGATCCGGTTCCGCTGCAGGAAGAGCGGACGATGTAAACGCAGTCTCTTCGACAGTTTCCTCGTCGTCGCTGGGAAGGGCGCCGTAGAAAGAGGTGTTCATTGGATCCATCTTCATGCTGTGACCCATCTGGGAAGTTGTGCTTGCGTCCTCTTCGTCCTCCTCGTCGCTGTCGATGCTAGTAATCGGCGGTATCACAGGTTTTTGCGCCTGATCCAGTTTTAACTCGCAGGACATGTCCTTGACTATGGGACTGACAGGAACGGTGGGCGGTGTAGAACTGCCCGGGATATGCTTTTCGTGTTTCAGTATCTCCTGCATCTCTTTCAACTTCTCGATATCGGCAATGTCCGGTGTGGATTTACCGCTGAGGCTGGAATCTTCTACCTTTTTCGATGGACTCAAGGTCTCGGTGGATGGACCCGCCACGCTAATGGAAGGCTGCTGAAGAGATCTCTCAACGTTAATGAAATCCTCGACGGACTGCTTAATACCGACGGAAGACTTCCTCGAATCGTCACCCTTCAAATCGGGACTCGATTTGCCGGAAAGCAGAGACGAAGTTTTAGTGTTATCAGAGGTGATCGATACCTTCCTCGAGTCCACTGAAGATTTACGAGAATCCTTCACGTCTGGAGTGGATTTACCAGAATCCTTTACCTCTTCCTTCTCCTCCGTCTTAACGTCGTGAATTACATCTCCGTTCATAACTTTATGGATTTCCTCTTTCTTGCACGAAATTTCGATGGTCTCCTCCATCATTTCCTTGCACAAATGCGACGAGGGAAGGGTATCCTCTTTCTTGAGGCCAACGTCTTCAGGCTCTTTAATATCCGGTGTCTGCTTGCCGGATTTAATATCCGGTGTGGATTTACCTGAAACTTCCAAATTGGATTGATAGCTCGGCGATGATTTTCCGGAGAGCATCGTCTCGGTGTCGATTTTGCTGTGAACGTCTGGTGTGGATTTACCAGAGGTCAACTCCTGTTTTACGGGTGTCGATTTCCCAGAAACATCCAATGAGCATTTATCACTGAGCTCAGATTTATCTTTCCTCGATAAATCGGGAGTGGATTTTCCGGACAGGATTTCTTCCTTCAAAATATCAGGAGTCGATTTTCCAGATTGCAACACGCATATATCTACAGTACTCTTGTATTCCTTCAGTTCTGTTGCCTTTTCATCGATTTTCTCCTTTACTTCCACTTCAGTAGCAACACTTGACTTAGTTTCAGGACTAGATTCGTCGGATTTAAATTCCTCTTTTTCCATGATCTTTTCAGACAGCATAACATCTGATTTTGTGTCTACGGTAGCTTTCACATCTTGACTAGATTCTGGTTCCGCACTCTTTGCAATTTCTGTTTTGATTGTTTCATCAGCTTGGGTCTCGACAATATCAGATTTCTCTACCTCTTTTTTGCTTTCAATACTGCAAACTGCACTTACATCTTCTTTATCTGAAATCTTCACATCCACTGGTTTAATTTCACAGACTGCTGATTTAATTTCACAAACTTCTGGTTTAATTTCACAAACTGCTGGTTTGATTTCACAAACTTCTGGTTTGATTTCACAAACTTCTGGTTTGATTTCACAAACTTCTGGTTTGATTTCACAAACTTCTGGTTTGATTTCACAAATTTCTGGTTTGATTTCACAAACTGCTGATTTAATTTCACAAACTTCTGGTTTGATTTCACAAACTTCTGGTTTAATTTCACAAACTTCTGGTTTGATTTCACAAACTTCTGGTTTAATTTCACAAACTGCCTGTGCAGAAACATCAGTTTTCTTGGCATCCATTTTTTCCTCTTTAAGTTCCTCTTTGACGACAACACTTTCTACTGCAATTGGTTCTTTGATTTCTTCCACTTTTTGTGCGTTCAAATCACATGTATCCAACGGTTTCTGATCTTCTACTTTTGGCAAATGACATATTGGTGTAATGTGTTTGTCCTTTTCGGATTGCTCAATACTGTCTTTCTCCAGTACCGTTTTATCAGTGTCCTTTTGTTGATCTTCAATTCCAGAAAATTCTTCGACTTTAACGTCACTCTTAGTTTCTGGTTTGTCTGACTTAATTTCTTGTTTTACTTCAATTTCATCAGATGAAGTCAAATTTGTGTCTAAAGCAGTTTTCTTAGATAACTCTTCTGTTTCATGCTTTTCAACAACCTCTTCGACTTTTACTTCGTCAATATCCTTTTTGTCCTTCTTCTCGGGAATATCTTCGCACAACATCTTTTCGGAAACCTCCATTTTCTCAGGGGTGCTTTTTCCTGATATGTAACCGTTGCTGTCGGGTTTTTCACTTAGAGTCGGAGTGGATTTCCGTGACATTTCAAGAACTTCGGGAGTAGATTTTCCTGACAACGACGCCTCGCATGCTCTATTGTCAGGACTTGACTTCCCTGAATCTTTCTTATCTTGTTTGGTATCCTTAATATCTGGAGTTGATTTTCCAGAGTCAGCCTTTTCCATTGGGCCACTGGCTTCATCCTGTTTAGTTGACTTATCAGCAGCGTGTCCATTCTTTTGCACGGTGTCTGGTGTAGAACGTCCAGAGCTATCAGAACTTTTGGCGAAGCTGATGGATCCAGGTGGACAAATTACAGTTTCTTCTCCTCCGTCCTCGCTGGAAGCAGTCACTAACATACGATGCACGGGCTCACCAGTTTCAGTCCTCGCAGACTTTATATCGGAAATCATCTTGGAAGACGCTTCCAGAAGCTCGTTCGAATTTTTGATCAGGTCACTAATTTTTGTGTTGTTTGAGTTAGAATCCTTCTTTTCATCATCTTCTGAATCCTCTTCCTTGATGGGAGTGATGACGCCCGGTAAATCGGACGTAGGAGAGTCAAGAGTGGTGATGTGAGTTTCCCTCAATTCGGTAGTGTATGGAGTAAATGTAGTGAATGAAGTGATTTCCAAAGGAATCTTTCCTTTGAATTCTTCGAGAGGAGCCTCGGATTTTAATACTTCCGCAACGCTGGCCACGATCTTAGCAACATCGTGTTCACGTTCTTTAGGCGATTTTCTACCTAAATCAGATTTGTCAATGATTTCTGGAAGTTTGCAGGCCACTGACGATTCTGGACTTCCCTTCGAATCCGGAGATTGAACTTCGACTTTCACTTTATCTTTAAGATTATCAACTTCATTGATTAAGTATCCCTCGATTTGCTTCTTCGAATCGGCTTCTTCCACGAGAATCTCCTTAACCTGTTCAATGGTTTCCTTCACTTCATCAACATGCACTTTAATTTCCTCTTGAATTATTGATTTCTCTTCAACAATTGCAGCTTTAGCTTCCTCCTTTACTTCGACAATATCTTTCTTCATGTCTTCTTTAACTTCATCGACTTTGACGTCATCTTTAACATCATCGATTTTAACTTTTACGTCATGTTTAATTTCATCAATAATCTCCTTAATTGCGTCAACCTCTTTCTTGACAACATCCATAATTGCAGCACTTACTTCACCTGATTTAATTACAACATCATCTTTAATTTCATCGACTGCGGCTTTAACATCGCTCTCAAATTGTTCCTTAATGCTGTCAGTGATTTGAGTCTTGGCGTCGTCGGCTTTGATTTGAGCTTCCTCTTTGATTTCATCAATCTTCTCAAGGATGGCGTCGCCAATCGTTTCAACGCTTTCAATTACCAGTTTGGTCTCTTCCACTTTAGCCTTAGCATCTTCTTTTAATTCAAATACCTTCTGGACTACTTCTTCTTTAGCATCCTTCAATACACAAAGATCTTTCTGCATTTCCATTATTTTAGATTTGTTTTCTTCGGTTACAGTTTTAACTTCATCTTGAAGTGCAGTCACATCATCCTTCAAAGAATCCATTTCATACTTGGCGGTTTCGATAGCTGCAGCTTCGGTTTCTTCTGCTTTTTCTTTTAATTCGTCTTTAATTTCAGCAACTTGTGTTAAAGTCTCTTCCTTTACATGCTTAATATCATCGACTTCTTTTTGGATACTTTCGATAATTGCCTCTTTGGTAACTTCAAATTTGACGGCAACCTCTTCCTTGAACTGATCAATGTCCTTAGTAATTTTGACTTTATCTTCTTTCAAAGTGTCAATGTCTTTCTTGAGATCGTCAAGAATTGTTTCTTTAGCTTCTGCAGCTGCCGATTTTGCTTCTTCTTTGAAATCAACAACGTCTTTAATAATCTCATCTTTAACATCACTAACTTCCTTCTTAACATCTTCAACAATGTCCGTTTTTACTTTCTCAGTTGTAACATCTTTAGCTTCAATAATCTGCTCTTCAATATCCTTCAGAGCATCAATCTCTTTCTGTATATTATCAACTTTCACGGTAGTCACTTCCTTGATATCATCCACTTTCTCAACAATATCATCTTTAATAGAGTCAACAGTTTTCTTAATATCTTCAGCAATTTCTTGTTTGATTTCATCCGTTTTCACTTTAGCCTCGTCTTTAATTTCAACTGCTTTGTCTACAATTTCGTCTTTAACGTCCTTCAGAGCTTCGATTGTTTTCTTAGCATCCTCAATAATAACATCTTTGGTATCTTCAACTTTTGCTTGGGCCTGTTCTTTGATTTGCTCAATACCACCAACAATTTCATCTTTTATAACTTTCATTTCTTCTTGAGCTTCGGCCTTCTTATCGTCAACCTTCTGTTTGATTTCGTCAATATCTTTAACTACTTCATCTTTAATTACTTCGATTTCTTTTTTGACGTCCTGAATGGCCTCACCAGTGGTTTCTTTAACTTGATCTTTGAGTTCATCAACATCTTTAGATACTGATTCTTTAATGTCCTTTAGTGTATCAATTTTCTTCGAAACATCTTCAACTATAGCAGCTTTTGTGTCTTCTACAGTTGCTTGGATTTCTTCAACTTTTTCGATAGCTGCCTCTTTAACATCTTTGACATCTTTCTTAACTTCTTCAGCCATTACATCTGTAACTTCTTTTACATCCTTGATGATATCTTCTTTAGTTACTTTAAGATCGTCTATTTCCTTTTTAGCATCCTCGACAATCTTCTCTTTAGTTTCTACCACCCTTTCAACAGTTTCTTTTAGGGATTCAGCTTCCTTTTTAATTTCGTCTGAGATGACGGTCTTAATATCATCCATTTTTTCATGAGTTGCTTCCTTCATTTGGTCAACCTCTTGAATTGCAGCATCTTTAGATTCCAGCACCTTTTCTTTTACTTGTTCAATTGCTTTCTCTGCAGTTTTGATTTCTTTAGCGATTTCCTTCTTTTTATCATCAATAGTTTCTTTAATTTCTTCAACGTCGGTTTTTACTTTCTCTACAATATCATCCTTGATTTCCTTCACTGCCTCCTTAGTCTCATCGACTTTACCAGTAAAGAAAGATTTGATTTCTCCAAAGATCGACTTTCTCTTTTCTCCCTTCTTTTCCTTCATTTCTTCTTTAGCAGGTTTAGCACTTTCTTTTTCAGACTTCTTATCACTTTCTTTGGCTTCTTTAACAGCTTTGTCACTTTTATCATCCTGAAGAGTTTGTTTGTCACCAATTACTTCAGTACTCTTTCCTACTTCTGCTACCATACTGTCAATGCGGCTTTGAATCTGTTGAGCTTGTTCTGTGGTGATTGGTTTTATCGTGCTCTGCACATGTGGTAATATATCAGGTTGCTTCTCGATTTCCAACGTAGTACCAAAGAACGAAGATAGTTTCAATGATGCATCATATCCTGCAGCTTCATCTTTCTGCTCTACGTGCTTCTTGTCCGTCACGAAAGGTACATCATCAATGACGTAATCATCCAAATAATCATCTGTAATTCCGTTTATTTCTGGAGCTTCATCTCTCTTCTCTTTAGATTTATCTTCAACAATAGTTTCAATTTGTTGTTCAGTGGTTTCAGGTTTACTATCTTCCATCTCTTCCTTCATTGGTTCGGACTCAATTTCAGCTTTCTTGGCCTTTAGGCATGCCTCTGATTCATCTAAATCCTGTTGAAGTTCAAACTGTCTTACCCTGGATTCAATAATTCTGGATATTTCTTCAGTGCTTTTATTTTCTCTTTCGAATCTTGCAAGTTCCTCTTCAGTAATAACCGGTTGGAATTTTTTAACAACAGGTTTAACGTCCTTAATCTCGGACTCAAGTTTTTCAGCAAAATCTTCCTTTTCTTCTGGTTTCACTTCTTTCTTATCTAAAGATTCAATTTCTTTAGTTTCTTTTGCGGGTAATGATTCTGTCTGTTTTGTAGAATCTATTTCTGGTTTTATTTCTTTCGTTTCTGGAACTGCATCTTTAAGATCCTTGATTTCACTTTCTGGTTTTAGTTCTTTCTCATCTATCATCTTATCCTTCATTTTTTCTTCTTGTATGCTTGTTTCTGGTTTTACTTCTTCCTTTTGTGAAACGTCTGGCGATATTTCTTTCTTATCTAAAATCTTCTCTTTAGCTGGTATTTCCGGTTTTGATTCTTTTTCTTCTTCTTTGAGAATTGAATCTTTAATTTCTTTAGTTTCCAATTCTTGTTTAATTTCTTTCTTCTCCAAGACTGCTTCTTCTTCTTCTTTCAAATCCAATTCTGGTTTTACTTCTTTAGTTTCCAATTCTGCTTTCATTTCTTTCTTCTCCAAGACTTCTTCTTTAATTTCCAATTCTGGTTTAGTATCTTTCTTCTCTACGACTTCTTCTTTAGTTTCCAATTTTGGTTTAGTATCTTTCTCCTCTACGACTTCTTTATTTTC